CAACAATGCTCCAACTTTCCCGATGGTGAAATTCTCATTTAGGGGTCTGGGTTAGAGCCATTATTTTACCAGGAAAATGAAAACAACCTGCCAGCTTTTGCAATCATCAGCCTTGACATCAGGTTTTGAAACACCAGTCCTAATTTGGTGCCTTCCAGATGTGTTGGGACTAGAACTCCCAATGTAACTAGAAGGTGCCAGCTTGGAAAAGGTAAACTCAATAATAAATGGACAAAACAAAACCTCCCCGAGCAACTGAGAGAAGTGAGATGTACAATCCTCTTTGAAAATAGTGATATCCTTGATACCAGGTCACACCTGGAATAATGCATCCAGTTTTGGTCACCACGATGTAAAAAAGATGTTGAGACTCTAGAAAGAGCGCAGAGAAGAGCAAAAAGATGGTTAAAGGGTTGGAGGCTAAAACATATAAAGAACAGTTGCTGAAACTTGGTATGTCTAGTCTGATGAAAAGGAGGACTAGGGGAGACACGATAGCAGTGTTCCAATATCTCAGGGGCTGCCCCAAAGAAGAGGGAGTCAAGCTATTCTCCAAAGCACCTGAGGGCAGGACAAGAAGCAATGAATAGAATCTAATCAAGAAGAGAAGCAACTTAGAACTAAGGAGAAATTTCCTGGTAGATAAAACAATTAATCAATGGAACAACTTGCCTCCAGAAGTTATAAATGCTCCAAAACGGGAAGTTTTAAAGAAGAGATTGTATAACCATTTGTCGGAAATGATGTAGGGCAAGGGTCTTCAACCTTGGCAAGTTCAAGACTTGTGGACTTCAACTCCCAGAATTCCTGAGCTAACATGACTGGAGGAGAAATTCTGGGAGTTGAAGTCCACAAGTCTTAAAGCTGTCAATTTTGAAGACCCCTGGTCTAGGGCTTCCTGCCTAAGCAGGGGGTTGGACTAGAAGACCTCCAAGGTCCCTCCCAACTATTCTATTCTGTTCTGTTCCTATTCCTATTCCTATTTTGTTCTGTTCTATTCTATTTTCTATTCTATTCCCTGCTTTTCCCAAGCCTTTTTCCTCTGCTCAAAAAAGGGAATTCGGCAGAACCTCTTGCATAGCTGCAGATCTAATAAAGCAGGATTGCTTCACATCCAGTTCTTGTCATTCTTCCCATGGGAAGAAACTGGGATCAAAGACTAACGTGCATCTACTTTTTATCTGTGGTTTCTTGTTCTCATGAGATGTTTTCCTTCCAGGTTGGATTCATTGAAGGTGATGGCACAAGGACAGGTGTCTTTCCTTCCAACTTTGTCCAGCCATTGCAAGACTGAGTGGACCCAGATTGGTCTTCTCTGAAAAGAGGAGGCAGCCTGATCGGTTCTGGAGATGGACAAGGTGTGGAGGCTTGCTGGATCTCCATAGAGCCTGGTCTTCATGGGATGTCATTTCTTTATTCAGTTCCCTGATAACGTTGCTAGAAAAAGATGGTGGAATCTGGCTTTTGAGACTCTTTTTTTTGTAGACAGAAAGGGGAGGGGCCATGGATAAAGGACATATATGTCAATATGACTTGATGGACCACTTTTCATCCCTTCAATCGTGGGGGGGGGGGTAGCAAGTGACATTTATCATGTAATGTAGAAGCTCTACAACCAAATCATCTTCTTTTGCCACTGGGTCTCATTCAGATTGTTCTATGCCCATTTTGAGCAATGGAAGAATGGATCCAAGTTCTTCAGTGCACCACTTGACTTAATACCAGTTTCCATGTCAACAGCCATGAGGGAGCAGAAGTATTTAGAAAGTAGTTTTCGGGAGGTGGGGATTGCAAGGAATCAATGCTGAAAATTGTTTGGGAAGCCTTGGGGGTTGGGCAGGGCTGCTGTAATCCTTGCTCCAATTGTATGAGTCACCTTTGTGTTTTGTTCATGGGGGAACAATTCATCTGTTGCAGAATATATGACTCTCTGCGATAGAAGATTCTGGATTTTGTCTCAGTCTGGTTGACGTTGTTGTTAACTGGAGTCGAATGGATCTCCACTCAGCAAAGTAATGCTACCTGTTTTCCTCAGAATCTGTCTCCCTTCTAGGGCAGCTCTACTAAACAACTTTTCTCTATAAACAACTTCATTAAAAAAAAATCCACCTCACCTTGTTGGGTAAAAACCCCTGCTGTGCAAAGTTATTTTAAAAGTACTGCAGGCAAGAACAGAGTGCCTGGAAGGGACAAGGGGCCATTTACAAAACCTGCAAAAAAAATAAATGAGACAGCACGTCAAGCTTGTTTGTGGTCCTCCGCTATTATTTAATCTGCTCAGTGTTGAACATTATATGTCTATAATTTGAAAGGGCTTCTGACATGAATAGCGGATAAAAATCTCAGTTTTCAATAGCTTGAAATTTGGAGACATTTCAAGAGGCTTGCTGATTTAGAAAAAAAAAGTACTGCTATCCCAAGCTTCATTTTTGTTGTTAGAAAAATAACGGCCACATCTAGATTAAAGAAACTGAATGTAGATATCCATAAAGTTTGTGGGTTGGGGGTCCTGACAAATTCTCTCTGAATCCACTGGGAGTGAAATGCAACTCACTTCATTTGAATTCAGCCTTTTTCCTAAAATGCCAAATATAACTTGAAGTTTTCTCTACCTCTCGTTGAGCTGAAGGAGAGGGCCCGAGAGTTTTGGCTAAGTAAAAAAAAATGGAACAGAGGAAATCCAGCTAAGATAGTCCAAATTTACCTCTCCATCACTAAAGTAAGACTTCAATTTACCTTTAAAAAAAAAAGGCTTGTTAAATTTAAAATAACAATGGTAATACAGGTAGTTTTCTCAACTTACAACTACAACGGATCCCACAATTTCTGTTGCTAAATGAGACAGTTAAGTGAGTTTTGCTCCATTTCATGACCTTGCTTTCCACAGTTGTTAAGTGAATCATTGCAGTTGTTAAGTTAGTAGCACGGTTGTTAAGTGGCTTCCCCCATTAACTTTGCTTGTCGGAAAGTCACAAAAGGTGATCACATGAACCCGGACACTGCAACTGTCGTAAGTGCGAGTCAGTTGCTGAGATCTGAATTTCGATCATGTGACCTGGGGATAGTGCCATGGTTGTGTGAAAAATGATCATGTCACTTTTTTTCAGGGCTGTTGTAACTTTGAACCAGGGGTGGTATTCAGCCGGTTCGCACCGGTTCAAGCGAACCGGTAGCAAGGATTTGGTGTGGGTCGCCGAACAGGTAGTAACTTCTGGCTGGCCACGCCCCCGACCCAGTCGCTGGTTCCTCGCTTGCCCTGCCCACTTGACACTAGCCCGCCCAGTCACTCCTTAAGGTATTTCTTTTGTCCCCTCCTCCTGACAATCAGCTGTTCCTACGATCAGCTGTGCCAGGATTCCCCTCACTGACTTACTGCTTCGCCCAGAAGGCTTCCCTGAGGCCCAGGAAAGCAAAAAAAACAACAACCCAAAACCTCCACACACCCCGTCCTTCTTTTGCTTTCCAGGGCTCCAGGAAGGCCCCAAAATGAAGCATAGGGCGGTGCTGCACCCCCCCGGCTTAGTTTTCTGCCTTCCTGAGCCTTAAGGAAGCCTTCTGGGAGCAAAAACACCCCCCCCCCCGGGGCCCTCCCGGGGCCCCGGGCGGGCCCCGAAATGAAGCCGTGGGGGGGGGGGGCCGCACCCCCCCCCCCCCGGCTCAGTTTTCTGCCTTCCTGAGCCCTAGGGAAGCCTTCTGGGAGCAAAGACGCCCACCCAGGAGGTTTCCCTGAGGCCCAGAAGGCCCCAAAACAAAGTGGGGTGGTCCTGTGCCTCCCCCAGGCTTAGTTTCCTGCCTTAGGGCTCTAGGGAAGCCTTTTGGGAGCAAAAACGCCTCCCCAGGAGGCTTCCTTGAGGCACAGAAGACCCCCAAATTTGGGGGGGGGCAGTTTGCTGCAAAAAAAACAAGCAAAAAAGCCACACCCACCTAATCACATGGCTATGCTGCCTAGCCACACCCACAGAACTGGTAGTAAAAAAAATTTGAATCCCACCACTGCCTTGAACGGTCACTAAACGAACTGTTATAAAGTGAGGACTCCCTGTAATGGAAACAGATGTATGTATGTCCCTTCAAATGTTACTTCTGAACACGTGCAGCTGTCTGAAAGCTTTAGATGTTAACCAAATGTCCTGGAAGGTATGCCATCATGCAAAGTGCCTACGTGGTCATGAAACATTTCGAAGGTCTGCTCCTTAAGAGGTTAAATCTCTTTGTGTCTTGGATTTTCCCAATCTGGTTTGACCAGTTTTCAAGTCTCAGACTTTCATTCTACATATAGTTTGTTGTTGTTTTTTTCATTCACTTATTGTGCAAACAAATGACTTTCAAAGTCAGGTCTTTTGCAAAATCCACCAGTTTGTAGATTTATTGGAAATTTGCAAAATTAAAAATAAAAAGAGAATCAGACAGAGAGAAAAGGACTGTGACAGGCAGAAAATGCTTATTTTAAAACAGTAAGAGGCTGAACTCACTGCACACAACACAATCTCAACAAACGTGATTTTAAAATGTTATATTTATACGCATTATATATTGACATTATATAGACATTGTTAAATGGGCTGGATAGAAAATTAGACTGATGAAAAGTGTGTCTTAAGAACAGTGCCACTTAATCCCCATTTTCTTCAGGTCCTATGAATGAGAGGAATAGCCATTTTTCTTGTTCATGCAGAATTAATCACAATATAGAAAAGTCTGGCAGTTTAGATACATATTCAGGCAAAAAAAATATGAAAACCTACAGAAATGCACTTGTGGATACTAAGAACAGGTAGAAGGAACTATGAAGAAATATTTTAATGACGAAAGACAGAGAGGTCAGTCTCTATGTACAAAGGTTTATGTAATAAAGCCTGGCTTTGGACTTTCAGTTTATTTACCTAAAGTTTTAGTTTCTTTTAAAACATAAATCCTCTTAAGGAAAGAGGAATGAGAATATGAGAAGGAAATGGTAGTTATGTACAACGTTCTTAAATAACAAATAGCTTTCTTTTTTGGGGAGGAGGGCTTTTCATTTCTTCCTAATTGCTGTGTGTCAGAAGTGAACTCACCTCTTAATCATATATTTGGGGTTCTGTAAGTGATTTTGAAAAAAAAAAGATATTACGGATTAATTCTGGATGCAGAAGATTTTTGCTTAAGAAATGACAGTTGTACAGATAGTCCTTTACTTAAAACACTTCATTTAGTGACCGCTTGAAGTTACAATGGCACTGAAAAATGTGACTGATGACCCCTTTTCATGCTTACAACCACTGCGACATCCCTATGGTCAAAATTCAGAGGCTTGGCAACTGACTCATATTTATGACGGTTGCAGAATCCTGGAGTCATGTGATCTGCAACCTGCTGACAAAAGTCAATGGGGAAACCAGGTTAATTTAACAACCATATTATTAACAAATGCATCAATTCACTTAACAATTTCTTACTTAGTAATGGAAATTTTGGGCTCCATTATAGTCGTAAGTCGAGGCCTACCTATTTCTAACTGTACTGTGTAGTTGAATATAGTTGTGACAGTGTCAAATGGCCTTATTGTGGCATTTGATGGCATTAGACATTCATCCATATTTGGGGTCTGCAATGTCTACAAGAAGCATTGGTTCTCAGTATCTTGAGATCAACGTACCTGCTTATTATAGAATTCGTACACTCAGTTATTTTCTTGTCTCCAGCTAACTTGCTGATGAAATCCCAGGGACAAAACTTTGACAAGAGCATGGCACATTTGAAAGCGTGCATTTGTCCTGAAAATGAAAGCCCCATATTAACCATTTTATCAGATTTTCTCTGTTCCACAGAACAGTCTGAGGTAGGAGCTCATTTTTCAAACGGCATTAGTTTTGCTCTAAAATGACTTCCGACTATCTTCAGCGATTTTGAAGGAAAAAAAGCATCACTAAATAGACTCAAGCAGGAAGTGCCATTTTAGCTCCAAATGCTGTGATGAAGCTGCAGTCCACATCTGCATATTTTGAGGGGCTGCCACAAAGAAGAGGGAGTCAATCTATGTTCTAAAGAACTGGAAGGCAAGGCAAGAAACAATAGATGGAAACTAATCAAGGAGAGAAGCAACCTAGAACTAAGGAGTAATTTCCTAACAGTGAGAACAATTAACCAGTGGAACAACTTGCCTCCAGAAGTTGTGGGTGGTGGTTTTTAAAGAAGAGATTGGACAATCATTTGTCTGAAATGGTATAGGGGTCCCTGCTTGAGCAGGGGGTTGGACTAGAAGACCTCCAAGGTCCCTTCCAACTCTGTTATTTTGTTATCTTGAGGCTTAATGAAATGTCCTTGTGCTTGGATCCTGGATGGTCCTTACTCCAAGATACATATTCCTGGAGACAAAAGGGTAACTGTGAGGCTCTATGAATCAAAAAAATGAACCTTCCTATATTCATTGCTTTTCCTAGATAAGGTTGTCCAAAATTACCACTATAATTATCTGTTCAGATCAGAGATATAATTTAATCTCCCAGTGTTTAGGGATTTAGATCCATCATCTTTAATTTAGCATAGATTAAAAGTGGCCAGAGATTTAAGAATTGAGAGGATTTAGGCTGTTTTAATCCCTTATACCTAGAGGCCAATAGTTTGCCAGTGTCAACTCATTAAAATATGTGGTTAACTAAACCGTTTCTTCTTAGCAGATCATGACACATGATTCATCTTGTCTGGGCTTGGAAGCTAAGCAGAGTCAGGCCAGGTTAATACTTGAACGGGAGACCTCCAGGGTTGTTGGCTAGATGTGAATTTGGGGGAAGAGTGTCCTGGAAAAAGGTAATGGAAAACCATTTCCATCTTGTTGTGAGAAAATAATATAGACAAGTCTATGACATCATCAGGAGATAAACTTGAATCAGAGATCTATCTCTCTCTTTCTTTCCTTCCTTCCTTCCTTCCTTCCTTCCTTCCTTCGTTCCTTTAAAAAAGCACTTTATTACTAAAATTACAGATTAACAGACTGCATTTAAGAATAATGCACCACAAAGCAGCTCTTGGGCTTGTCCTTTTAAGATTGCACATCACTTTTGCAGCAGAATTTTTCTTGCTAGTCGCCTCTGAAAGGTGTTGAAATCTAGTAGGAATTTCTGGAAAGATTAAGGGACTTCTCAAATTCTTCCTTGGTAGAGTATGCAATTCTGGCATTTGTTCAGTGTGACAGCGGTGCTGTGTGTGTTTGCATCCACACACTTTCTGTCATGGAGAATTATTTGTCAAGCGCCAGGAAAATTAAGAGAGCCAGAGAGTTCAAAGGCATAAAGATTTATTGCAAGCTTAAGCTGTCTACAAGAATCTGAACTATCAACAGCCAAGGGAAATTAGCGGGAGATAAGAGTAGAAGGAATTCAAGGTGGGCTGGATTTAGACCTTTTATGAGTGCAAGGGGACTCATGACTGATGATGCATTTGACCCCTCCCTTGGGTTCATCCTGGCCCTCTCCTCCATCAGTGATTTTCAACCTGTAGTCCGCAGACTCCTGGAGGGTGGGCTGTGATGTCACAGAGGGTCCGCAAAGACTTGAAGCAACCTTATGATTTAAATCTTGAGTTAAGTCATGGTGGTCTGTGGCCACAAAAGGTTTTTAAAAGGGGGGATCCATGGTGAAGAAAAGGTTGAGAGCCACTGGTCTACACCAGCTCATTCCCACTGTTGGTGCCACACTTCCATTCAGTCCCAAGAAAGGACATTAGGGGAGAAGTCCTGGGAGATTTTTTCCCCCAGATTTGAGAAGGATGAGTAGCCAGGAAGGCTACAGAACAAGAGGAAGCCATTATTATAAGAAACGGTTTCAACAATAGTTGCACTCTCGCTCACTTACATAGAATCCCCAAGAATACTGACTGAGAAACAAAAATGAAAGAGAAAGGTGGAAGGAAAACCGTAGTATTTTTTTCTGGCTAACAGATTTTATTAAAAAAGCATCAACTTTCATGAACTAAAGTCCACACATTTAATCCTATGTTTTTTAATAAGATTTATTAATCAGCAATGGTGATACTGGATTCCTTCTGATATTTTTGCTCCTGTGAATAGAGTCACCTTGTAGGGGAGTTGGGTGGCATAAAAAAATTAATAAAAAAAAAATCAAATGAATGAATAAAATATTTCCTATGATAAGAAACAAGTCTTTTTAACAGGCAAGAACACTTAGAAATTGAAAAGCAGATTTTTATACTGCAGTAATACAATTAGGGCTGCCTACTTTCTGATATGATTTGGCAGTGGGTTCTCACCTCTACATTTGCTAGTTGCAAATGCTTAAAAACGAGGGTGTCTCATTTTCTTCGTGTATATTGCAAGATTTATTCAGACTAGAAACTTGCAAGAATATTAGTTTTCTTGAAAAAGATCTTTTGGTACTTTGACTGGTTTGCTGGACCCAATTATCTCTTGCTGTAAAATGAAATTACAACGAACAGCAATTTTGTGGTCATATAATGCATTAAAAAAAACACGATATTTTTTTCTTTTTTATTACTGAACGTATCATAACAAAAATGCCTTTTTGTCCTTGGTTTCTAATAAAGTTTTAAAAAATATATAGAGTGGCAGTGCTATGTAGTTCATTATCATAGATTTATTCAAAATTCTTGTGTCTTAATTGGGTTCTGTATAAAACTCAAGAGAAACATAACCAAGTAACAGCTACATTCCCAGTTTTCACGGAAAAAAAAACCCTACAAGATTAAAGAGAGCTTTCTAGATAATGATCAGAACTCCATTTTAATCATGGATGTTTGACCTGTTTTGCTATTTGAATTAATTGCATTTAAATATCTCTGTTTTGGAACAAAAGACTACTTTCTCAATTCTAAGTGGGAAACATGTTTGTTTTATACTTTTAGGAAAAAACTAATAGCATTTGGCCATCATGGGCTAGAGATGTCTAGGATGAACATCAAGATCTCTGGGGAAATATCCAAGTTGCCTTTTGGGAAGAGATTCCCCCATAATTCCAGTGTATGTGGTTTATTTTGCATTCAAAAGACCCTGTCATGTTCTGTCACTCTTCCAGCTGAAGGATCTCAGAACTTCCTTACTCTGGTTACTAAATTAAGATCCTGTCTGGATTAACACAGTCTGCTCAATAAACCACTAAACACTTTGTGCTAAGTCACCCTCCACCGACTCAGCACATGGGGTGCGAAGTCGAAAAGGTGTTTTGAGACAAATATCTCCTTAAAGAAGATGTATCTTGCATAGGTTCACACGAACAGTGTGAGATCTTGGAAATGGGCATGTTTGAATTAAGGAAGTCCTGACAGGTTCCCTCTTTCCACCCACCTCACCATGGCATTTTTCTACCTTTGGATCTGAAGCACAGCACATCACCTGGGCACCTGTTAAAAAGTTTACATTTAACCTGATAAACCTTGACAGCTTGAAGATAGCTGAACTTCAATTCCCAGCATGCCAGCTGGAAAATTCTGAGAAGGAGAAAAAGAAGCAGAAGTTGGAGGAGTCAAGAGAGGAACCAGTCTGGAGTGGTTATGTTCACACCAACCCAAGAATCTGTGGAATCTGTTAACTCTTATTTTGCACCAAGTTAATGTTGACATGAAGTTGACTAGATTCTTGTGTTTAGGCATTAGCAGTAAATCATCTTAGCTGGAACATAAATGTGTGGTCCCAGCCTGACATTAATCTCACTAAATTGGCACTAGATAAGAGTTAACCAAATCCAAGATGGACTTGGATTATTTAGTAGAATGTAAGGATTCTAGGCTGATTCCTCTCCTGACTCCACCCCTAGGCTCCGTGTCTGTCTCCTACATTCTGGGAGTTGAAGTCCGTACATCTTCAAACTGCCATAGTTGAGAAACATTGTGGTAAGGGGTGGGATTGGTTGAACCAATCAGACAATCTCCCTCTCAGGCTACAGAACTAAAGGGAATGTTCTGAATTTTCAGAGGCTTAGGAGCCATAGAGGCAGGAACCAATCGGAAGGTGCAATCCCTTGCGTCATTCACTTGGCCTTGGGTACAAAGGTTGCATATATTTTCTTTTTCCAAAGAAAGCAGGTTTTTACCTCTTCCTGGGATGTATGCAAACTTCTTTCCTGTGATGACATTTTGTAAATTGGCTCCTCCTGGAGAGGGAAGAATTTGTCAGGATTTCCAGACAAAATTGGCTGTTTGGGAAAGACAGAAATAACAGACTGTTGCCAATTTGCTGAAGTTTCTCTCTCTGTGTGCATGTGTGATTGTGTGTGTGTGTGTGTGTGTGTTGTTGTTGTTCCTAATAATCTAGCCCTGAGGATTCTGGCAACAGCTTTTAAGCGTTACATCCACACCTAGAAATGCATTGGATGAAATAACTCAGCACCATACTGTCATAGTTTTTTGTTGTAAACATACAAAACGTGACTCCAATTAATATGAATTGATAAAAGTCTTCATATTGTTGCAGTTTCCCACACTATTAAACTTCTTGAAAAGTGTAGTATTATTTATTACGTCTGCATTTCTTTTTCTGCTCAAAAGACTGAATTTTGACTAACAAGTGTAACACTTTGGGAGATTCTATTTAAGTTTATGGTGTGTCATTTTTAAAGGGTGAAAGGGTGAACTGGGGAAGGGTGTTGAGAAGATAAAAGATCCCTGTTAAATGAAATGGGATGAAGAAACTGAACGTTATGGTTCCAGATGAAACAGCAGATTAGGGTCTGCCCAATTTCTTATCTGATAAAGGGGTGGCAGCCTCTATTGCAGGATACAATTATTTAATGAAATTAATTAACAGAATCAGCTAGGAAGTGACTTCTCCAGGATCCTAAAATTACTGGGTTTTTATGGAAAAAAGATTTTGGAACTCTACCTTCATTTCAAAGTAATCAGAAAGGAATTAACTCTTCCATTTTAACTTTATAAGAGACTGAAGGCTAT